AAACTTGGTTGATATGCCCTTAAGACATTGTAGAGTAAAAGTTATCTAAAGCTTGCATTTTCGTATATGTTAAAGGGGCGTGGCCAGGACTCAAAGTTTTGCTTCATGCGATAAATTTCCAAACACTAACTTTCACATTGAAAGAGCGAAATGCACGAAACTTGGCAGGACTCATCCCTGTTGGATGCCCGACAATCCACTGTGGTCATATTTTGACGTCAAAGCCCCGCCCCCTCGGAACAGGAAGTCTCTTTTTTAACTTGGAATGCTCCCTCTTTGACACCATTGACCTAATCAGGATGATCCTGTGTTAGAAGACAGATAATATAGTCTGACTTGATTTAAAGCGCAAACAGTTTTTGCTTGAGGATGCGGGCGTGGCAGCATGGCGAATCAAGAAGTGATGCCGTTGCAATACAGTTGGCTCTAAATTGCACAGATTTCAGCCAAGGTGTACCAAAATCACTATGATCAATCATTATCAGCAATTTACCTCGAACAGGTATCCATGATAAGTGGCCGATAGCTTCCACAGCGGCACCTACATTATTCCTAGTTATAGCTCAGTGATACATCATCCGATCTGCACCAGATTTATTGTGCATGATCAGTGAGGACTTTTAGACACATTGATATTGTGGTTTAACATATGACTCTAGTGCGCCCCCTAGATTATTACAACAGTTATATCTCAGTAATACATAATTTGATCTGCACCAGATTTTTGGTGCATCATCAGTGAACATGTCTAGACACATTGGTATTGTTGTTTAACATTTGACTCGTGTGCCCCTACGTTATTCAAACTGTTATACCTCAATGATATATTATCCGAGCTGCATCAGATTTTTTTTGTATGTGATCAATAAGCACTGATATATACATTTGTGTTGTTATTTAACATTTGACTTGAATGTGCCCCCCTAGATTATTCCAAAAGTTATATCTCAGTGATATATCATCTGATCTGAACCAGATTTTAAGTGTGTCATTAGTGAACATTTATAGACACATTGGTAATGTTTTTTAACTTTTGACTCCAGTGCGCCACCTACATTATTCCAACAGTTATATCTCAGTGCACTATCATCCAATATGTACCAAATTTATTGTGAGTTATCAGTGACCACTTATAGACACACTGATATTGTTGTTTAATATTTGACTCAAGTGCGGCCCTAGATTATTCCAACAGTTATATCTCAGTGATACATCATCCAATCTGAACCAGAGTTTTTGTGCATAATCAGTGAACACATCTAGACACATTGATATTGTGGTTTAACATATGACTCAAGTGTGCCCCCTAGATTATTCCAAGAGTTATATGTCAGTGACAGATCATCCGATCTAGGCCAGATTTTTAGTAAGTAATTAGTGAGCACTTCTACAAACACTGCTATTGTTGTTTAACTTTTGACTAAAGTGCGCCCCCTAGATTATTCCAACAGTTATATCTCAATGAAATATCATCCAATATGTACCAGATTTTAGGTGCGTGATCAGTGAGCACTTATAGACACATTGGTATTGTTCTTTAACATTTCACTCAAGTGCGCCCGCTACAATATTCCAACAGTTAGATCTCAGTAATACATCATCCGATCTGAACCTGAGTTTTTGTGCTTCATCAGTGAGCACGTCTAGACACATTGGTATTGTTGATTCATGACATTACTTAAGCCCCACCTAGTCAGAGAAAAAAAAAGTATATTATTGGATGACACTTCCAGCTTCGCACTGTGTACGATATTAGACTGAAACTTTGTTCGCTAACTGTTGATTACCACACATGACATGTTGAAAAGCATAAAGGAAGTGCTGGTCAAACATTCACCACAAAACAGGAAGTCACCATAACTCCTGTCTGGAAGGTCAGATTTCACCTATACTTGTAAGACCTGCAACTGGACAAGTAACGACATGAACGGAAGGCGATGCCGAAGATTCGGGAAATGCACCCTGTGGTGAATGCGTGCGGGATTGGCACGAGAGCATTCTCGATGGCGACTGGGTGGACTAGCTTGAGCTTCCACGGTCGCCGTAAGGCCAGAGTGGCGTTTTGCTGAGGGCTGCCTGCCACTCAGCTGTTTCATCCGTGGGGCTGGTCTCGGCTGCTCCCCCGGTGAGTGAGGGTTCGACTGAGACCCCGCGCATGTGAAAATTTCCACCGTTCCTCAAGCTGCATCTGAGAAGACTCGGGTGGAGGGAGGAGCTGTAATTCAGTGGGTCTGGTCCGGTTCTACAATCAACCCCTCTCACGGCGGACATGAGAAGGATCAGTGGGTTGCCCAGTTCCCATTGAGGACCACCCTGGAAACACAGGAGGTGAGTGGGAAGGAGGTGAGTAGCGAGGTGTTGCAGCAGGGCAAGGCGGTAAAGGAAGGGGAGATGATGAAACTGAGGACCCAGGTTTGAAACCCAGGTGGGTTCCTCTGAACTAAAACCTTCCTCCTCTCTTCCTCCTCTTTATCCCATTGGACATTCTTATTTGTTTCTCAGGCCAGGAATTCAAACAGGGTGATCATCTTCCTACTGGGTTCAGGTTGGTCTCTAGATTCTATCATGATGAGGGGCAGCTGTGGCTGAGTGGTTAGAGCAGTTGTCTGCCAATGCAAGAGTTGGGGGTTCAAATCCAACTGCAGTCACATGCCGAAGTGTCCATGGGCAAGACACTGAACCCCTCATCGCCTCCGATGTGTGTCCCATTGGTGTATGAATGTGATCTAAATCTCTGATTAGTCTCTTTAGAATGATTTGTTCAATTAGCTTTGTAGAGATCTAGTAGAGTGCTGTATGAATGGGTAAATGAGAACACAGATTGTGTTGTAACGCACTTTGAGTATCTTGATCAGATACAAAAAGTGCTTATAAAAGTACAGTCCATTTACCATCCATTTACCATGATCTGGCTAATAGTGTTGAACCCACATGCAGGAAGGCACTGGGAGACTCCAGGTAAAATAAGTAACAGAGTTTATTTTCTAAATAAACAAATTAAAATGCTGACAGGGCAGCTAACTTTCTCAATGGATAACACTGAGGGAGACATATTACAACATCCATGAAGGACAATCCAGAGACAAATGATAAGACACAAGGGAGCTGAATATACAGTACAATATACACACACTAATGAGGGTGAACGACAAACACCTGTGGTGATTAGCATTGAGCACAGGTGAGACAAGGGCTGAGCAAAAGGAGGAGGAACGCTGAGGGGTGAATGAATCATGAGGAAACAGAAAAGACAGGACAAACCACCACAAACCCAACCAGAAGCTGGTCATTCATAAATCTCTAATCAAGAAGAAAGTCAAGGTTAGGGTACTTTGACAATGTTAGCTTTAATAAATGAAGACTGCATCACTGAGCTAAAGGAGACGTAGAGTGTGGTTCTGTGACTCTGATGTTGGACGGTGCCGAACACGTCCCACTCTAAACCCCATGGTCAGCTGGTCACACAGACCATCATCACCACATTCCATTATCGAGCTGGGACACCGACATACTTTTCTACGCAGTAAATCCACTGGTACCACTCTTTCACCTCCTCAGTTGGTGGTTCAGAGGTGGGACAGTGGTGGGTTGACTTTAACCCCCCCCCCCCCCCCCCCCACACACACACCACCTCAGTTCTTCCATAAATCACACAGATACCTTTACAACCACAAGCTGGCTCCAACTCAATGACCTTAAACTTAACAAGAGAATCTGTTAACGGCATTTGCAAACAAACATGTACCAGACAGGAAACTAATTCAAATCAAACAACTATCAACTATATGCTGTGCTTGTGCTAAAAAGTACCAAAATTTTTTGAAAACAAGACATGTTTTGTTAATTATAAAGGAACCAGGAACATTACAAGTATACCAGCGAAAATGTATCAGGCAGCGCAATCACATTACTATGTGTAAAGATTGATGACCCCACCCGAGCATATTTACTTCAGTTTTTTTAGTAAAATAATGTTAAACACTTATTATTAATTACAGGATATTTGAGCTTTAGTTATTATAATGGTAAAAGTTATTCAAAACAAGTCAGTGAAAATATGACACTGAAACATCCATCCATCCATCCATCCATTATCTTTTACCCACTTCTTCCATTTTGGGACACGGGGGTTGCCGTTGCCCATGTCCAGCAATCACTGTGCAAGGGGCAGGGAACACCCTGGACATGTCGCAAGTCCATCACAGGGCCACATAGAGACAAACGAGACAAACAATCATTCACACTCTCACTCGAACCTAGGGACAATTTAGAGTTATCAATCAGCCTAACATGCATGTTTTTAGTCTGTGGGAGGAAACCAGAGTACCCGGAGAAAACCCACACATGCACGGAGAGAACATGCAAACTCCACCCAGAAAGGCCCCCGGACCAGGATTTGAACCAGGAACCTGCTTGCTGAGAGGCAGCAGCTCTGCCAGTTGCGCCACCGTGCTGCCGACACTGAAACACTTGTTTTCTATATTAAATATCGCAAAGTAATGCTGCAGAAATAATTACTTCAGTCAGGCAGATTTGATATGGACTGTAGCACCGTTGAGATTTTTCAGATGTGGAATTAAAACAGAAGTGTTTTATACAAACATCACCTCTGTGTTTTCATCTCTTCCTGCCACAAAGACAATTATTTTCTCCAGTTTACAGAAGCACAGATTGATGGGGAGATAATGGATCTAATTTAATTCTTTTGCTCGAGCTGATCTGATAAACAGGATGCAGTGCTAACTAACGCTAAATCAGCCAGTACACGGCAAGTCATTAAGGTAAGTTTAGACATAACTGAGCACTGTGATTAAACAAAACAGCTCAGACTCCACCGTGATCCAGCAATGCCTCTGAATTCTACACTCGCAGAGAAGCGTCTCAGGTCTCCGGAGGTTTGAGCATGTTGTTTTGGCTCTGAGCCGGCTAATGAATGCAACAGTAGCTGTTGTCCTGACAGTCACATTTGGATGAAGAAGCAAAGGATGACAGTTGGTTACCGTTGATGCCGCTCCTGTCAATCTGGTTGGTGTCAGAAGGCCAGTAGGCATGTTCTCCTCGTTGACCTGCAGGAGAAGGAAGATGGAAAAATCACATCAGAACTCTTTGAAGCACGAAATAATGGGATCCGTCATATGACCGCTTCCTCCTGAGGAAAGAAACGACTTTGTTGAGGCGTGTGTAGCTCATTCTGAGATGCAGAAAGCATTTTTTTAAAGAGTAAGTAGACTTTGGGCTTTCAGGACACATAGACACATAGTTAGTTTCTGTTTAATGTGCTCTTCTTTGGCCTTCAAGGCCTCAATAGTAAAATTGGTCTGTCTCACCCGTTCATTCAGCAGCTGTGTCTGTGCCTTCTGAAGGATCTTGCTTGCCCGGTGCCCGCTGACCGAAGATTTTAGTTCCAGGCTCTTGGGAATGATGCCACTTTGTCGACATCTGAGGTTGAATCGCAAATGGTTTGTTGTTTTGCTTTGTTTTGGTTTTTTTTGAATGTCCAGAGGACCAGATTGAACTTTTTTGGATTTTTCTACCTGGATTATTGAGCATGCATCAAGATATTTTGAACCACTTTGGCCAGGATTGCCTCAAACTAGTTAGAGAGTTTGAGAAAACAGCAAGGAAGAGGGCAGACTACAGGAACCACTTGCGATTCAACCTCAGATGTCGACAAAGTGGCATCATTCCCAAGAGCCTGGAACTAAAATCTTCGGTCAGCGGGCACCGGGCAAGCAAGATCCTTCAGAAGGCACAGCAGCTGCTGAATGAACGGGTGAGACAGACCAATTTTACTATTGAGGCCTTGAAGGCCAAAGAAGAGCACATTAAACAGAAACTAACTATGTGTCTAGATCAGACCACACTTCAGCAAGTGTTGGACTGTACAGATCAGGCACGCTTAGCACAGCATGTCAAGTCCAAGACTCGACAACAAAACAAGTTTAACTTACTAATAACTCATCAACAACATCACTATTCCAATAACAACACATTCAGTGTAGGACAACACTCCAGTAGTCAATTACATGCCAGGGAGACAGAAAAGTGGGTGAAGAATTTATCTGACAGACAGCTCACCCAGCCAGAGACAGAGATTCTTGCCAGGGGACTGAACTATGCGGTTGCACCAAGTAGAATTCCTCTGGTGGAGATGATCACAGCTACTGAGTCAGCCATCCGCAACAACAAAATTAGAGGCTGAAGCAGAACAGCTCAGAATCAAAGTTTCAGCCTGCCTCAGCAATGCCAAACCACCACCTTCCAACATCAGTAGAGAGGAGAGGGACGCACTCACCACTCTTAGCAAGGACAAAAACATCATCATTCTCCCAGCAGACAAAGGAAGGTGCACAGTGATTTTGAACCAGAAAGACTATCATGAGAAAGTTATGACACTCCTTAGTGACGTAAACACTTATGAACCTCTGAAAAGAGATCCAGGAAGTGGTTACAAGAAGAAATTGATAGATTGCCTGAAAATTTTGGAGCAGGACAAGGCTATTGACCGTTTTCTGTACCGCAGACTGTACCCAGGGGAGGCCACACCTAGTCTGTATGGTTTACCTAAAATCCACAAACAAGGTGTACCTTTAAGACCAATCGTTAGCATGATTAACTCTGTCACTTACAATGTTTCCAAATATCTGGCGTCTGTACTCATCCCTTTAGTTGGCAGTTCAGAACACCACATACAGAACACCATGGACTTTGTAGATAAGGTGAGGGATGTCATCATGGAGACTGATGAAACAATGGTCTCTTTTGATGTCACATCACTCTTTACGTGCATTCCTGTTGATGATGCAGTAGAGGTGGTCAGTTTAAAATTAAAATCAGACACCACTCTGAGCAGCAGGACCACGCTTTCCACAGAACAACTGTGTCAACTCTTGAAACTGTGCCTGCAGTCAACCTACTTCACATATGGGGAGCAATATTATAGGCCGAAACATGGGTGTGCTATGGGGTCTCCAGTTTCTCCTATTGTTGCCAACCTGTACATGGAGGAGGTAGAAAAGAGAGCCTTGACGTCCTTTTCAGGGACACCACCAAGTCATTGGTTCAGGTATGTTGACGACACCTGGGTTAAAATTAAATCTCAGGAAGTCCAACATTTTACTGACCACATCAACTCTGTGGATAAATACATCAAGTTCACACGAGAAGATGAAAAAAAAGGCAAGTTGGCTTTCTTGGACTGTGAGGTCTCAGTCTCTGATAGAGGACATTTGCAAACTGCGGTGTACCGCAAACCCACCCACACAGACCAGTATTTGCAGTTTGACTCCCATCACCCTTTGGAACACAAGTTAGGAGTCATCAGGACTCTGTATCACAGAGCAGACAGCGTCCCCACTAGCTCAGGAGTCAGGCAGAAGGAGAAATCCCACACAAGACAGGCTTTAGAGCAATGTGGATATCCTAACTGGGCCTTCCTTTTTTTTTTTTTTTTTTTTTTTTTGAGCTCAGTTTAAGTGTAGAAACATTGTGAAGTGTTTCAATGAACTTATCGTCATCGCTCAATTTATTTATTTTTTTTTAAGAGAGAAGAAAGAAGAATAATTAAATAATAAAAGAGAAATAGATAAGACAAGAGACCACCACGACAAAACAACATGCACAGCACAATGCCACCCACAATATCACCATGAAACATTCGACATTGCACAAGGAATCATCTAGCTTCCACCACTACCCAACCTAGCGTGCATCTGTCACAGCACCTGAATCCAAACACCCGCGCAAGCACGCCTGCCACCACCAGATTTCTCCAAAAGAATGCCCAATAGTGGACGCGGGGGCCCACAGACCCGTCCCCCAGGACACAATGGCAACATAGGGAGGACCGGAGCCACAGACACACAGCGGCCCACAGGCCCGGAGCCCCAGGAGTCTCCCAACAGGGAGAACCGCACCCCCCCAGAGAGGAGCAGAGGAAAGAACCGGGTGACCCCAGCCACCACAATGCAGAGCTTCCAGGAAGCTGCAGTGACGAGCCCACAGGTCCGGCCGGCGACCCATGCCCCCCCAAGTAGATCCGGCCATGGACACCGAGCCCCAAGCCCCGAGGCCATACCACCCCCCGGCAGAGCCCCGACAGAGCCAGGGCACCCAGGCCCCGCCAGGCAGCAACCAGGGCAGACCGACGTGCACCCCACCACCCAGCCCAGACACCGAGAGCCACAAATGCACCGGCGGCAAGGGGGTCCCCCGCCAAAGGGGGGCACGACCGGGGGGAGTGGGCCCCACACCAAATGTGGGGCCCAAATTGATCCAAGAGAGGGGTACCACCAAAAACCCAACCTGAGCAACCAACAGGCACACACAGATAGCATGCACCATCTACCTGACAGCGACCACAGGCCGGCCCCAGCCCAAAGGGCAGAGCAGCAGGGAGCCGCAGCTGAGGAGGGCCGGCCCCCACACCAAGAGCCCCGCACCATAGGCCCGGAGACGCCCCAGCACGCCACCTATGCACCCCCCCACACACACAGCACCCCCACCGCAAATGCCACACAGGAAGACCAGCCAGTGCCCCGATGAGGCGAAGCCACGCCCCCAACCGCCGCCCTACACCACCAATGACCACACGTACACTACCATAGCCGACCCCCCGCCGAAAGCCGGCAGCCACCCCGGTCAAAGTGCCGGCCATCGCAACCAGGAACCTAGATTAAAAGAATCGGAACAGCCCAGGAGGAACCGAAGCACCGGCCCCACCACTGACCGCCCCCAAGACCCAAAGCCCACCCACAGCCCAGACCCCAACAATGTGCCCCCCTCCCCCTCCATCCCAGACCCCTAGTGTCACACAGAGAAAGGAGGTGTTTGTGATTAAAAAAAAATAAATAAATAAAAAAAAAAAAAATAAAAAAAAAAAAAATAAATAAATAAATAAATAAATAAATAAATAATCTATATATGCATAAATAAATTATGAACAGACCCACTTCCTCCTCCTCCCACTCGAATATGGTGTTGATGCATGTTGTTATACAGTGCGTTTAAAATGGGGGGATGAGGTGGCGATCGGCACAGACCCACCTCTTGCCCAGAGAGCAGGCGGTGCCCGTTCACCCCTCATCTCCGCCCCGAACCCTAAATGTCTACATGCTACATATGAGAGTGGGCACAGGTCCGGGGAGGTGGAAATGGTAGTACATCCCACCACCTAAGTGCGATCATGTGCCCACTCCAGATCCTATATATGCATGTGTCGTGAGAGTGTTATAAGTGAGTGTCTAGGTTGTATATTAAAATTAGGGCCCAGGACCCCACCAGCCACGGAGATGGATGATTCTCCCTGTAGCTCAGCAGTGCACCTGAACCCCAAAACCCTGTTTGAGTGGTGGTGTGGTGGAGTGGGCGGAGGAGGACGTTGGGATGGGGAGGTGAACTGAGGTGGCAATGCCCCCCCAGGGGACCAGCTCCCCCGCTGACCCCAATAGGCACCCCCACTCTCCGAGATCCACCAGGGGACAGAGGGTCTAACAGAGATACCCAGGAGGAGGTGGCAGCCGCACCACCAGGGATCAAGGCCACGGACCGGCACATAGCCCCCGAGGACCAACCAGAACCAGGGCCAGCAACCCAGACCCATCCCGAAACCGTCCAGACACCCCAACCCGATTCCCAGCCCAACACCCAGCCCCCCAACCAGAGAGGCCACCAAACCCCAACTGGGATAATCAGCCAGGAGTGTCCAAACAGTCACAGATAGAGCAAAACAGCGACCAAGAGCGCCCCCCCACCCCAAAAAAGCAAAAGACCAGTCCACCCATAACAACACCCACAGCGAGAGCGCCCTATGCAAGTGTGGGCACACACCCAGCGAGCCCAGACTCCCCCGGTCCCACAGCACAGAGCCCCCCACACGAGAGCCCCCACCCCA